AATTCGATAACTTCAGTGTGGGAAATTAAAGATATTCCATAAGTGCGCAAGGCTGTGGATTGGAATGTATTTCTAATCTCTTTTTAATATATGGATTAAGAAAATTTCATTTAGTAGCGACCAAAACGGACAACTTTCATCTATCAGGCAAAGAGCACATTAATTTTTCTTTATGATAAACCAAGCAGTTACCTCTGCAGACACTAATCCTCCGTAAGAAAAAAGATGGCGACATTTACCCATAGTTCGTACCGCGCAAAAACCTTAACAACGTTCATAAAACATACGGAAACGTTATAAAATCTTCAAATCTAGACTACTCAATGTCCTTAGTACAGGGACAAATATCGTAAAACTTTGGCTTTCTTTGTGTCTTATAGGTTGTGTTAGGTTTGCAAGGCATTGTGGTAAAGTGTACAGCCACCATCTTGCTTCCTACGGTGGGTTTAGTTACCTCTAAAGACAGGTCTGTAACCTTTTATTAATAGCAGACTTGGGAAAACTGCTGTGAGAAAACAATGTTCCTAAACTTACAGGGCTAAGACCAAGAATATTAAAAAGGCTTATCAGAAATTATTTCATTTTACCACGTCAAATGAATTCATGTTTGGATCTCCAGCCACCAAAACGTTTTTAACCTCGTTGCTCATTGCAAAAGATCTGTTATCGTGGTTTCCATAGGCAACTGTCAGAACAATACCAACAACCAAGAAATGTGCGATGATCTCTTTTATAATTGCTTTCATCTCGCATTGCTTTAATCGTAGTCTTCTTGCAGCTTCCAGCTTCTTTGCATCCGGTGGTTTGCTTTGCAAGCTGATATTTCGTGGTTCTCTCTCAGCGCCTGTTTCAATAAACTCTTCGTCAGCGTTTAAAGCAGGATCGGGGGTCTCCTCTTGTTCTTCTTCTTTATTCGGATCTTTTATTATCAACGCGAAAAAAGCTGCAATAAGAAGTACCTTGAATGGTTGGATGACGACTACAGACTGGAAAAATGACACCAACATTGACGTTAACCATTTCTCTGACTTTTCTTTTCCAAAGGTGAAGCCATACAGCATGCAGACGAAACCACATGTCAATGACGAAACAGCCACTAGCACATAGGCAATGTAGATGCACCAGTAAGGGAACAAGAACTTCTTTTTAGATTTCTTTTGTTCACAATCGGAGTCGTCGTCCTTCTTGATGATGCTTAAAAGAGTTTTCCAGTTGAAAACTTTTTTCACAGAGTTATCCCGATTGTCTTGAGTCGAGTCAATGTAGGCCACTTGTGACTTGGAGTCGACGTTTCCAGAGGGCTCAGCGTCTGCCAAATCTGGATTGGAGTAGTTTGTTTCTTCCTCGACCTGTTCATATTTCTTAGACTTTGAGTTGTCCTCCTTTGGTATCAGCTTTCGAAAAATAGACACAATGATCATATTCACCGGCAACACCACGAAACTACTCTGTACACCGATCATTATTTGTTTCACACTGAAAATAAACGGTCCGATATGTATTGACTGGTCTGCAGCTGAAGTATCATCAGCCCCAGTTTGATAGAACATTAAGTTTGCCAGCATTGTAGTTAGCATCAAAGAGAGGCAACAGGACAGCCGCTGGACACGAGTGAATGTGCTCTTCGGCGGGCGCGTAAAAACTGAAAGCCAAAGATGCCCATCTAGCAGATTCTTCCTGGTAGAGTTTACAAATAAGATATTAAACTTGGTCAACTCCTCTTTTGTTGCTTGTTTAAGTCTGCGATCAACTGCGCCGTCTCCCTCCTCAACAGCAAGCCACTGATCACACACAAACCACCATTTGGATTCTGTCTGTAGGTCCCGGATGAGCACGCGAAATAGGTACCAAGCGGGGGATTTCCCTGCATTGTTATGCCAGATGTGGATCTCTTTGACGCTCCCGAGGGACTGTGGTACTGTTAACAGAAACTGGTCGATTTCTCCACGTCCAAATTTGGGGCGTTTTGGATCTTTTAATATCCGGGGCTCGCTATCACCCAAAGTGCCAAACAACTGGATAAATACGTCAGCGGTTGTTCTAGACTTTTGTTGGAATCCAGTCTGCAGAGTGATCTCATAGCCATAGGTGTCGCGGGGGTCATTTGACAGAAGGGGAGTGACACCAACCTACAACACAAAAGAAATTCAAAGTTATACTACAATATATAGCAGGTCAGTTTCACGACAAGTTGCCTGACTCATTATTTCTAGGCTGGCCAAGTTTTTTTTAGATTCGTAAACTTAGAGTATTTTTTAGTATCTGTAGTGCTACATACTCTTAGATCAACACACATAACGTTCACAGCAATTTAAAGAAAGGATTAGTTAGGTTGCATATATTTTCTACGATCGGCACTAATCATCTAAGTCATCGTGTAATGTTTGCAAATTTGATATGTAATAAACAATTATATATTATTTTTATAGGAAAAAAGTGATGATCATTTTCTCTATAATGTTAAATTTAAAATTCAAAATTAGCAGATTACGCGATTATTACCAGAAGGTACTATTATTACGTTACGCCACCTCTCAGAGAGGTTGTCAACTGATGAGAGTTTGTGACATGGCCGAAAGACCATAGCCGAAACTAAAATTACCTTTTCCAGATCTTTCTTATCTCTCCATCGTGCCCAAATCACTCCCACAAAATAGAAGCCGAATATGGTGAGAACTGTTGCAAACACAATGGGGTTTGATGCAATATCACTGAAACCGCTGAAGGCCTTGTCAAAGTCGATTGGATTCGGAGCAACCAAGAAGCCGCCACCAAAATTCGTCAAGTGCGTGCAGTGACAAACCGTTGAAAAGTAGGTAGTTTGTGGTGCAACCTGTTGTAAATAATAATAGTTGATAGAGCGCCAGACTGCTGTGCGGGAGGTCGAGGCTCTGAGCCCCAGACCGGACCAACACTCAGGGTCTTAAAATAACTGAGGAGAATGTGCTACCTTTGCAAATGGTTTGACGTTCAAGTCTTCGCGGATGAGGGCTATAAACCGTACACTCCGTCTCCTGCATCCTGAGTAGTACATGATTAACAAGGGACGTTAAAGAACCCACACCGAGTTCCCGGTGTTGTGGTCTGGCCTTGTCTCACGGGTTGGTGCTTCACATAGGGCTAAACTCATTGCGACTTTCTCCCTTGAACAGAATTCTCCAAAAATTGGCTAAATGACAGTGGTTCAAAGGATACTAACAATTCAAGAATTGGACGTGCATATGGTTGTTAGCTATCAAGCCTTGAAGGCTCATTCAAGAGTTTATTATTCATAGAAAAGTCGGTAGCTTTAAACGCTAATGCTTTTTTGGGTATATAGTGTTTTTTCCATAGACACACGCGGAGGATTCCGGATCCCATATAAAGGTGTTCAGAGGTGATGGGGATTTTCTCAGTTGCTATATAACCGCGACTGCTTTCAAGATGTATGCCGAGAGATATTGTAATAGGTAGCAAGTGAGAAAACCTGAACTGGAACAATCTAAGCATTACCAAAGCACGACGCTCAACCCCCAAAAAATTTTGAAGAGCGGCTCTTCTTTGATCGTCCGTACGATCTGATAGAGATCCCTTCCCTGGGTTTTCTTAAAGATTAAAAAGGCGAACATGTTGCCTACTTAAATTACTTACTTCGCAACCAGATACTTTCCACTTCTCCTCTAGCTCGTCCCAGAAGTTGCAAGACGAAAGAAATGAGAACAACTTGTAGTTCGTTCCAGAGCATTTCTTGTCTGTCCGCGATTCATCATGACGCGTTAAATACAAACCCAAATAGTAAACTTCTTTGTCCGAGCTGGAACGATTTAACTGAAAATTGGAAACAGACAATGGGAAACCTTCCCTCCAATCAGCAATGCCGGGAATCACCCTCATGGTCCAATTGAAGTCAAACGCCTCCGTCGTTGGAAATTTATCTTTACGAAGAAAGATCTTAAATTCGTGGGTACAATTAACTGCCTCGGGATGCACAACAGCGTTGATTGAATAACTGGAGTCCTCGATGTGTAATTTATGTGTTGTCATTGTGTTCTCCTCGACGGTAAAATTACCCGACTCTGGTAACTCGCCAGCCTCATCTCGCGGGACAGTTATGGCAATAGGATGCCGCAAATGCGTGACATTGACTGGCGTTCCGTGACAGTTTTCAAACTTAAGGCCAAGGCAGTTACTGTCCACTCCAGACGATGAATTATCCCAAATATAAGGGTTGTCTTTGGCATTAATTCCCTAAAAGTTAACAAGGTGGATTGGAAATGCATAGTTCTTACCAGTTGATAGTATCATGTGAAGTGCGTTTATAATTGTTATACATCACTAAAATGTCAAACATTCCAGGAACTGAAGAGAGAAAGTTTCCCAGTTTCTTGCCCATCACCACTACGATAAAGAACTAACCGGCACTTCTTCCCAAATTTGTCCGAACGAAATGAGAAACAAACAAACAAACAAACAAAATTAGCAACGATTCCTTGATTACAGGCCCAACTGAACAATATTTGTGGCGTGGATTACCACTTATAGCGGAGCTCCTGCGCACCGACGGCGTCCGAGCGGAGCCCCATACCTTAGAAAATTTGGTAACCCATCGATCGAACAAATTTTGGGTGTCACGTGACAGTCCGTACGTACGTACGTCCGTCCGTACGCCAATACCTTGAAAATAAGAGAGTAGAACCATTACCATAGCTACATCTTTGATTTTGAACATCCGTGTCATGGTTAATTGACAGCTGTTAAAACAAGCTATTCACTGATCAGTATCACGTGACCATATCGCGGGCTCAGGTTTAGAGCTCATCGGGGTCGCGTGTTTTTTTAAGTTGACCGTTGACAAGTTACTGGTTTTTCGATTAGATCGCGGGCTCAAGCAAGGTTATTACCCCGGGGGGGGGGGGAAGGGGGAAGTACGTGCAAAGGCAAAATTTCGGCGCACATAAACCCCTAGCGCGTTGTTGACTTTTCTTCCGACATATTTCTTGCACAATCGTCTCTTGGAAAGTCCCTGATATATTGGGTACGTAATTTCTACAATCTTGCTTACGCTTATTGGGTATAGTTTGTTAAAATTTAACTGTAAAAAATAGCAAAACCCCACGCTGAACAATTGCATGCTCACAAATGATCATTTTTTGAGTTTCTGATCCAAGAAAAACAAATCCCTTTTTTCTTTATCGCTAGCTATTGCAATCAGGAGCTCCGCTTTTAGGCTTGGTTAAATCTGTATATTGCAAGCCCCCCTCTTTTCGAACAAACCAATCACGACCATGGTCATGAAGGTTTGTACCAGTTCTCTGCAGCTGAGTAGTCATTTTGTATCCCGCAAGAGTATCAAACAAGCCCACCAGTGAAATCATTTTCATCGATGCTTCGTGATTAAAACTCAGAAACACAAATAGAGGCAAAGTGTTGCCAAGACTTGAATACTATCTCTCCTAATCTCCCAAAGACATTTTCTTAACGATATATATTCGAAAATATAAACAAAGATTTACAAATATGTCAGACCAAAAATATAATTTTAACCTTTTCATGCACTACTATGAATTTTCTTGTTAAAAATTAAAAGACACTACCAGATATCAATCGTCGCTACATCCCAGTACCTTTGCTACGAGGTAACAATCTTCATCTGTCCAACTTCCTACAACATCCTCATTAGAAGGTAGAACAAAGGACCCTCCACCAACAGAAAAGCTGGACCCCGCGAGAGCTTTATGGTCCACTTTTGAGACGAGTGCAGACATGCGACCACTCGAAAGCAACGCAGGCTCCTGGCCAGCCTTTTGATATGCTGCGAGTATGTTCAGTATATCGTCTATAAGCTTCATCGCGGCCTTTGTCATGCTACGAGCCTGAAAAATGCCAAACATAAGAAAAAATAAATGTGCAACTTCCTAACAAAAGTTTTTTGAGTTCATTATCGGGAGAAAATCAAATGAGCGACATACTGTTCAAAAGGTGATAGGAGTCAAACCCTGGCACAAACGACACTCGCGGGAATTAAAGTTACTGCTCACTTCATGGGACCCTATCAAGGTGATCCTCCTGTGTTTTAGTCAATATCAGAACAATACAAAATTATAATCGATTTCCTCTGTTCGCACAAAATACTTCTTGAACATCATAATGAAGACAGCAAGTGATTATTGGAGGGAAATTCAGTCGAACTACGGTCAGTGGCGATAATGTTCCCAAGATAAGGACCACAGAAGTTAAAAAAGTCTGCCAGACTTTTTCTGAGTGTTTGACATCACAACCTTGTGCATGCCATCGCTTATAGCTTCTAATTTGTCCACTGAAATAGGAATTTTTTTTAGCAAAACTAAAACATTAAAATACGTATTCTAGTACCGTTTCGACAAGCTGCATGTGTGTAGTAAGTTTGAGTACCATTTAAATCTCAGAACAAATACGAAGTTCTAAATAAGTGTGACAGACTTGTAGAAATGCTAGAGCCGAGTGCTTTGGTTTATAAGTCATAAGGTAAGTCGGGCTACTGTTTTCTTCAGCACTGTCTCTATTTAGATCGGACATCTTAAAGTAAAAGAATTATTTCAATAATTAAAACATGCCATGGCCAGGTACAGTCTTTGCAATCGTTCATTATAAACTTCATCTTACTTTGTTAACACTTCGCAGTGAGGAGGGGGGGGGGGCTTTTCGGTGTTAATCTAAAATTGATTTAGGTAAGGTAAAACTGCAATACAGTAACTATCAAATTACAACAAAATACGATAAAACTAATACTAAGGTAAGAAGTTAAAAATTCACATAAAATTTTTATTTCTAAATTCCTTTTGAAAAACAAAACAAACTCACATAACTTAAAAGTATTGGTCCTTTGTCCGGTAGCGCTCTTAACTCAGGCAAGGTATGTTAAGAAGGTGGGAATTTCGAGTCACACGACCACTTACCTCTCCTCGATTTAAGAAAATCGAGGAGGGATCAGCGGACTTATAAGCTTATAAGCTTCCTTTATGATATACAACTCAACGCTCGCCAAGTAAATTCAATCAAGCATTTAACATGGTTTACTAAGCAAAAGTATATTTAATAATTGGGTTCCGGTACTCTCCTCGATGAAAGGAAACTCTCAATGCTCCTCTGCAATACGTACAGACATTAATGGTTATGGTAATGGTCTGCTCTGCAATATGTTAAATGTTTTGTGTGCATGCAAAATATCAGTGCAAAACAGATAAGAACACATAACAGCAGATAATGGCATCGACAGTAAACGGACTAGTTGCACATAAAAGGAAGAGTGAGTTCTTACCAGGGCAGTCAAAGCTTTAAAAGAGCAATTCGGAAATTAGGAAATTTAAACGTCTAATAGGTGAGACCGAAAATGTTAGACTCGCCAGTACGAAACACTGGTAGTACTATTAACCTGTTGTGTTGTGTCTTCTGATTGGTCCTTGTCCCTTGATGGAGCCATCTGCTGTACATTACTACCTTGTCGATGCTTTGAAGCTCCAAACAAGTTACCTATAAGCAAAAAACCTTATAAGGACTGGTCTAGGGATGTTTTCTATCGTCAGGTACTTTACATGCTACATCAGTTGCTGACAATCACAAAACTAGAAGATCGTATTCCTGCCTTTCAAACTTAAGCAGTCGGGTTTTTTGTCTGAGGTTAATTACAGTATTGCTTCAGAGATATTTTGTCCATTTTGGATGGTAATGCATGCCCGCCTCGGGGGAGGGGGGTACTCCCCAAAGTTTTTTAAGGGGGTGTGCAGTCCAAACCTTGATATCCGTGCACTGTTTCAGACCAAAATCTGTAATTTTCCAGACCCTACTTCAGACCTGAACGAAATATCGATACCCCATTTCAGATCTCTAAAATTAGTGCATGGCTCTAATATATGACCACCGCTAACGAGAAATAACTTCCATTTGCGTAAAGATTCGAGAAGTGCTACAAATTTGTCAATGTTGACGCGGAAAAAAAAATTCCTTCTACACAAAATACCCACTGCCAAGCCACACAATCACACCCTATTTCAGACCAAAATGGTTAGAATCTATACCCATTTTAAGACCAAAACCACTCAAAAACCATACCCTCTGGGGTCGCACGTACCTTTATAGCCCATATAAGGGAAACCCTCCCCCCTTTCCCTGCCCTAACGTATTATATCAGTTAACTTTGTGGTTTTTGAAAGTAAGTTCTGGATACGACCATCTTTGTTACCTTAAACAATCACATTACATCTACCAGTGAACAAAGTTTAATTTTATGTCATTGTTATTAGGTGATAAAATCTCGAAGCAAATGATAGTGTTAATGAAATAGCGTTCACGTAGACTTGGTTGTTCTTTGACTCTCAGTAGATTAAAGCACAACGGTGTTTAGGTCAAGAAGCACGAGTTTAAAGAGAACTTACCCAGGTTTTCTACCATGCCCTTGCTGATTGATTCTATGGCAGCTAGTGAATCAGCACTCTTCTTCGCCGAGAGGGTAGTTAGAGCATTTGTTAAAATACTTAGTATGCTCTCCTGCAACGGCAAAAAAAAAAAAAAATTAAAAATTAAAAAGTGATTGCAGTAAGTTGATGATGTAGAAAAATCCAACTGAAATGTCTGAAAATGGCTGGCTCGCTGCATGGCTGATTGACTGCACCATCGCGTCACCAGTCATCTGATACGATCCCTTCCTCAGGGACGAATCTAACGCTAGACATAAACTTCTGATCTCCAGCCATGAGTTATATGCTCGACAAGTTTGACATACCTGCGCTTCGCTTGACAGTTCCTCGACATTATTGGTAACGGATGACATTGCCTCTATCAGTAGCCCTGCAGTGTCTGTGGATTCAGGCTCAAGATCCTCTAGAACTCCAAGTAAGTCTTCCTTTATCTGGAGACACAGCAAAAAGAACCGTCAATATGAAAAAAATATGTATTACTTACATTTCAACCTACTTGGCTTATCTCGAGGAGAAATAAAACTGCAGCAACATCGCCCATAGTATTAATTGAACGAAAAGATGAAAACGCCATGTTAACCTACAAGGAAAGGAAAGAAAAGGATTCCCAAGTTGCTGCTGAGTACGACTTTAATTCGCACTGCGAAATGACGTTTCAAGGAGTGGTAGTATAATGGACTTGAGCGCCAAGACCATTTGGCTGATTTGTTGAGCAAGGGTTCATAACGTTCATAAATCACGAAACCAAAACAAACACTGTTTCCGTTCAAAAAGAAATCAATGCTTTCACATTACAGGGCGCGGAGAGCTATATGGAAGATTTTTACAAACCTTCATACGAGCTTTCTTCGCTTCGCTGTCCTCAAAACTAGGCTCCCCATCTCCCCCTTTCGAGCTGTCCTGGTCGAATTTCTCTTGAGCATCGTGGTCATCAAGTATCGTAGAGACTGCAGTTATAAGCTGGGCCATACCCTGTGCGTCGCCTGAGATTGCCATGTTGGTCAGTAAGCCATCTTTAGAAGTCAAGGACTGCAATTCTTCCGTAGTCAGCATTGCATCCCGCACCTAACATTGTTTATGTCGCAAATGCATTAGTTAATTATTAACTTTCCTTTTCAATCCGTGTAAAATGGTTTAAAAAGAAGTAATGAAATTTTTGATTGTGATCGTGTGGTTTAAAGAGTTAAAATAACAAATGGAGCCTTTCTCCCTAAGCACGCATGATAAAACGCGAGGTCTTAAGCGGAAGCGAGGAAGCCGAGTGGCCTTTAGAGCGGCGGATTTCAAATCTAGATGACCCTGGTTCAAATCCTCCACCGCAGCCATTGGCTGTACTTGGTAGTAGTATTGAGTCCAGGTCCTCGACCGCGTTTGTTAAATAGCCAACTGGTCAGTTTCCCACCAGCTGGGATTCAGTTCAAGTCTGTGATCTACTTTCAATATTTAGTTTATTTTCAGTGTCCTTAATTGGAATGGCACAGCGTTGCTAAATACTCCGACGTTTTAATATAGTGATTTGCTACACTTGCACCTAATCGTACCTTTTTGGCAAACATACGCGAGAGACCAAACGAGCCTGATATGCTACCGAAGCGTACCAAAAAGGTACGATTACGTATTCACCGTACACAAATTCGGCCAAGTAAGCACGACACCGTAGCCATAACAGGTCAGTGACTTGATATCGCTTAATATCAGGACAGTAGACATGGCTTCTGATTGGCGAATTTGGGAACGGTAATTGAGCATAATGTGCTTGATTGATGTGTGAAGCCGAAGAACGCATACTTGCTAACATCTGAGTTCGGCCAAGTTTCCTCTAGCTAGGAAGTCATTAGCTTTCCAGCAATAGTAACATGCCCGATTTGGGACTGGAAATAATGCAATAGCGGTCGCCGTTCGCCGGTCGTCGGTCGCTGTCCGTTTATTGTTGCAATAAGATGAAACAGAAACGTCATTTCTACCTCTATGTCATGATGTTAATAAGCGCATCTCAATCGTTTTCAGCTACTATTGCTAAGGTCGCGTATCCAGAGTTTTCAACGAGACATAGGTCTCAAAAACTGCCACGATGGCTTATGCCATCAAGGTTTCTTAATATAAAATACTAGTAATTAAATTAATTTACGATCAAACTACGACACTTACAGTCACTAACAAGGTTTCTTCACTGAAACTGTTGTAGTTATCAAAGACCTTTACTGTCAAGTTGTATGTGTAGTCGTTTTGATGTGGGCCCAGTGGAAGTAGAGAAGGAGGCAACTTTGGATCTTGTCCATGCTGTAGAAGTGTCTCTCCGAGTAGAACTTTATAGATAAGAGCACCATCTTCGTCATGCCATCCTGAACATTCAATTCTAAACTGCGTTTCCAGCACTTTCCCCTCCGTTGGAGACACATTGCAGTTTCCTTTCCGAGGAGGAATATTTGTTGTAAAGTGGTGTTCACTGCGACCTTCCAGGCCTTCTGTAGAAAGGAAATAAAAGGCATTAGTGTAAAAAGGCATTTTGCCCAGCAAAGGTCTCAGAAGAATACGCTAGCCTACCCTGGGGCATCAAAACAAACAAACAAACTTGCTATAACGGTTAATTAGCTTTTATCAGCCTCAAGTTCAAAACTAGCTATATGTTTTGACACAACGGCAATGCGGAAAAACATACGGCGCAGCTTTCTGCGGATCACTACTTATAGGTCCAAGCAGTGCTGGCTGCAGTGGCGGAGATAATGACGGGCTGTAAGAAGGAGCGCGAGAATGTGGCTCGGTTGATTTATTTCTACTTGGACAAGCATTTTTTTTCAGCATTTCACTGTTTAGAAAACAAGTCTTTCCCTGCCTGCCCGTGAGGCTCCCTTGCTCATATATTAAGTGGGGCGCTTACATGGATGCAAAATGTAAAGAGGGTTTGTGGAAAAAATGTGGCTTCCACCGAAATTTATCGCTTGCCTCGTGGAAATAAAGGGTTCGGAAACCTTCTTAATGTTAATTTTGTCCGAAAACAGTACACCAGCGTTGCATTAGTGACGAGAAAATGCTGCTGCGTACAAGGAAAATTGGGTTAGGAGTTAGGTTTAAATGATCAACGAAATGCTCGTCATTTTTTCAAACTTGGAGCCTGGCGCGCGGCCAAAACTCGCGCTTGCTTATTATTTTTTTCCGCTCTGAATACACAATGCTTTGTGCACGGCACAACTCACCTTCATTTTTCGCGCGACATATTAATTTATATTTTTTCCCAACATGCAACGCGTCAGGTCTAAGCACAATGTTTCTCTCAGTAGTGCCGATCAGTGCTTTCGAGTCAAGATCGACCACTGGTGTCCAGCCTCCAGAACTTTCACTTTGCACGTGCAGTTCCCACCGATAGGACACTGAAGTGAAGCCTTCCTGGTCACAATTGACACAGATAGCAATGACGGACAGGCGGTTGTTGGCGCTCACCTTGTCATGGCAATTGATTTCACATCTGTCCAGATATAAGTGAATTAAAAGAGCTCAGTCAAGGTATTTTGAGTAGTTGTTTTTACAAAACATACCTTTAAATTAAAGGAAATATGAAAATAATAGTTTCCTAAGATAGAAAAGCACTTACGAGATACTAGTAGACCATAAGGGAACAATGGTGGTTAAGAATGGAGAAGATTGACACGGATTACAAACGACGAACTTGAAAAATCTAGGCAAAACTTTTCAAGATGCACAAACCGAGACTTAGCTCTCTTAAATCGTCCTTTAGAGATACTGTTGGTATATTTCAGCGTAAAAGGCGGATGCTATTGACGGTAGTGAAACAATTTATGTAATAACTATTTAGCGAAGTAGACCGTTGAAGTCAATATTAAATAGTATTAGCACATGACTCATCTACGCCCCAAGAGAGCCAGAGAGCTTGTAGCTCATGGCAGCTCGTAAAGGAAATGTGAAGTCGCCAGCTAAGTTATCACATAACAACCGCCTTACTAAGAACCAGAACCAGAGCCAGAACCAGAACCAGAACCAGAACCAGAACCAGACCCAGACCCAGACCCAGACCCAGAACAAGAGCCAGACCCAGACCCAGAACAAGAGCCAGAACCAGAACCAGAACATGAACCAGAACCAGACCCAGAACCAGAACCAGACCCAGAACAAGAGCCAGAACCAGAACCAGAACAAGAGCCAGAACCAGAACCAGAACATGAACCAGAACCAGACCCAGAACCAGACCCAGACCCAGAACAAGAGCCAGACCCAGACCCAGAACAAGAGCCAGAACCAGAACCAGAACATGAACCAGAACCAGACCCAGAACAAGAGCCAGAACCAGAACCAGAACAAGAACCAGAACCAGACCCAGAACAAGAGCCAGAACCAGAACCAGAACAAGAACCAGAACCAGACCCAGAACAAGAGCCAGAACCAGAACCAGAACAAGAACCAGAACCAGACCCAGAACAAGAGCCAGAACCAGAACCAGAACAAGAACCAGAACCAGACCCAGAACAAGAGCCAGAACCAGAACCAGAACAAGAACCAGAACCAGACCCAGAACAAGAGCCAGAACCAGAACCAGAACAAGAACCAGAACCAGACCCAGAACAAGAGCCAGAACCAGAACCAGAACAAGAACCAGAACCAGACCCAGAACAAGAGCCAGAACCAGAACCAGAACAAGAACCAGAACCAGACCCAGAACAAGAGCCAGAACCAGAACCAGAACAAGAACCAGAACCAGACCCAGAACAAGAGCCAGAACCAGAACCAGAACAAGAACCAGAACCAGACCCAGAACAAGAGCCAGAACCAGAACCAGAACAAGAACCAGAACCAGACCCAGAACAAGAGCCAGAACCAGAACCAGAACAAGAACCAGAACCAGACCCAGAACAAGAGCCAGAACCAGAACCAGAACAAGAACCAGAACCAGACCCAGAACAAGAGCCAGAACCAGAACCAGAACAAGAACCAGAACCAGACCCAGAACAAGAGCCAGAACCAGAACCAGAACAAGAACCAGAACCAGACCCAGAACAAGAGCCAGAACCAGAACCAGAACAAGAACCAGAACCAGACCCAGAACAAGAGCCAGAACCAGAACCAGAACAAGAACCAGAACCAGACCCAGAACAAGAGCCAGAACCAGAACCAGAACAAGAACCAGAACCAGACCCAGAACAAGAGCCAGAACCAGAACCAGAACAAGAACCAGAACCAGACCCAGAACAAGAGCCAGAACCAGAACCAGAACAAGAACCAGAACCAGACCCAGAACAAGAGCCAGAACCAGAACCAGAACAAGAACCAGAACCAGACCCAGAACAAGAGCCAGAACCAGAACCAGAACAAGAACCAGAACCAGACCCAGAACAAGAGCCAGAACCAGAACCAGAACAAGAACCAGAACCAGACCCAGAACAAGAGCCAGAACCAGAACCAGAACAAGAACCAGAACCAGACCCAGAACAAGAGCCAGAACCAGAACCAGAACAAGAACCAGAACCAGACCCAGAACAAGAGCCAGAACCAGAACCAGAACAAGAACCAGAACCAGACCCAGAACAAGAGCCAGAACCAGAACCAGAACAAGAACCAGAACCAGACCCAGAACAAGAGCCAGAACCAGAACCAGAACAAGAACCAGAACCAGACCCAGAACAAGAGCCAGAACCAGAACCAGAACAAGAACCAGAACCAGACCCAGAACAAGAGCCAGAACCAGAACCAGAACAAGAACCAGAACCAGACCCAGAACAAGAGCCAGAACCAGAACCAGAACAAGAACCAGAACCAGACCCAGAACAAGAGCCAGAACCAGAACCAGAACAAGAACCAGAACCAGACCCAGAACAAGAGCCAGAACCAGAACCAGAACAAGAACCAGAACCAGACCCAGAACAAGAGCCAGAACCAGAACCAGAACAAGAACCAGAACCAGACCCAGAACAAGAGCCAGAACCAGAACCAGAACAAGAACCAGAACCAGACCCAGAACAAGAGCCAGAACCAGAACCAGAACAAGAACCAGAACCAGACCCAGAACAAGAGCCAGAACCAGAACCAGAACAAGAACCAGAACCAGACCCAGAACAAGAGCCAGAACCAGAACCAGAACAAGAACCAGAACCAGACCCAGAACAAGAGCCAGAACCAGAACCAGAACAAGAACCAGAACCAGACCCAGAACAAGAGCCAGAACCAGAACCAGAACAAGAACCAGAACCAGACCCAGAACAAGAGCCAGAACCAGAACCAGAACAAGAACCAGAACCAGACCCAGAACAAGAGCCAGAACCAGAACCAGAACAAGAACCAGAACCAGACCCAGAACAAGAGCCAGAACCAGAACCAGAACAAGAACCAGAACCAGACCCAGAACAAGAGCCAGAACCAGAACCAGAACAAGAACCAGAACCAGACCCAGAACAAGAGCCAGAACCAGAACCAGAACAAGAACCAGAACCAGACCCAGAACAAGAGCCAGAACCAGAACCAGAACAAGAACCAGAACCAGACCCAGAACAAGAGCCAGAACCAGAACCAGAACAAGAACCAGAACCAGACCCAGAACAAGAGCCAGAACCAGAACCAGAACAAGAACCAGAACCAGACCCAGAACAAGAGCCAGAACCAGAACCAGAACAAGAACCAGAACCAGACCCAGAACAAGAGCCAGAACCAGAACCAGAACAAGAACCAGAACCAGACCCAGAACAAGAGCCAGAACCAGAACCAGAACAAGAACCAGAACCAGACCCAGAACAAGAACCAGAACCAGACCCAGAACAAGAACCAGAACCAGAACCAGAACCAGAACCAGAACAAAAACCAGAACAAGAACCAGAACCAGAACCAGAACAAGAACCACAACCACAACCACAACCACAACAAGAACAAGGACAAGAACCCTTAAGTAAGAACCATTCCTTCATTAAGTACCCTTATTGAAAGAAATTTGATGCGATACAGGGTTATTTTTTACTTGAAACTTTGAGACTTATGTTACATTTATCAACGACTTAGTGTTTTCGCCGCACTTCTAACAATTTCCCCTTACGTCTATGAATCTTTTAAATGACTTGAAGGGGAAGCTAGCGTGCCAATTCTAATAATCTTTTATATATTTCCTGCCGTAGAATGTAAAAGGACTGAGAGATCAGTTATACTTACTTTGTAGCAACCTCTGGGAGGACGTTCTCAAATACTTGCAATGTTTGCTCAAACGCAGCTTCTCGAGTGTCTTTCCTGATTACCAGTTTAATCACGTACTTTTCATCTTCCCTGAGCATTCCTGGAGCAATGATTAGTTCGGCTGCTGAGTACTGCAGCATTCTTGGTCCGCTTCCTTCACAACCGCCACTTCCGTTATGCTGAGAAACCTCTTTAAATCTAACAGGAGGAAGATCCTCTATGTTTTCCGAGAAACTCTCGTTGTCCCGCCGACAGAACCAGTAGAACTCTATTCCAGACAAATTTCCCCGGCCTACATCTGGGTCTTCAGATATTGAGCCATTGATTATGATCTGTCTCAGAGAGCTTACAGTACGAAAATCCCCGCCAAAAATGTTGGCCTTGAGGTCTGCTGAAAGTACGTTAATGTATCCAATAGAATGGCCACTGATTTCATCTAAAGAGTGTTTCATGTCAGCTGTTAACCGTAATTTGATGGTTCCATATGGAAGCGAATGTGGTGGAATGATTAAGCTTGTCTTATTAAAATCCGTGTGAATGTTAACTTGTACGGATTCATTTTGCGACTGATATTCCACTTTCCACTCAAAGCCAGTTTCATATGATGCCTTGCAGTTAATGATAATTTTCGCGTAGATAATAATTTCTTTGTCTCTTGTAACATTTGGGGCCGTGTCTGGATTAGCGCCAACACTTAAGATGCGAGGGCCTGGATATCGACATTCCTTTTCCATAGCATGAGTGACGTGGGAGAGTCTTATGGACGATACCTCATTCCATCCATGTACATTTACCACATAACGGCCTTCCTCCTTGTAAGCATGTTGAAAGGTGAAGTTTGTTGCCGATGAACTTACAGTTTGGACGGTTTCCATAGATGAAATCCGGGTATTCCCGCTGTCGTCAACGAAAAACACCATCTGTCCGTCGCCCAGGTCAACCTCAATCAGACTATTAGTTCCTAACTTATCCAAGTAAAAGGTGAAATTGGTTGATTGCTTTACGACTGCCGGAGCATCGTCCCGTATCTTTAAACCAGCAATGCTCTCCTTCATGATAACGTTAGTTGAATTTGAAAATTCACCGAACTGATGTTTAAGCGTTATCGTGACAATGAATTCTCCAGTTGAGACGTAAGAGTGCTCTGCGGTGTTATTGACGGACGTAATAGAAGCGGATCCATCGCC